AATGAATTTAAACGAAATTAACTATAATTTCTTCATCTTCTTCTTTCTCCTCATCCTCAACCTTGCCATTCTCTTTGCCATCCTCTTCATCATCCTCTTCATCATCCCTCTTCATCATCCTTCTTCATCATCCCTCTTCATCATCCTTCTTCATCATCCCTCTTGGAACCTAGTTTTGAGTTTTGCGCAGAACCTAGTTTTTGGGTTCCGAGTGGAACCTAGTTCTAGGTTTCAATCCTTTTTTTTTTTTTTTTTAATTTTGAATGTATCTAAGTTGAATGAAACTAAAACTAAAATTTCATATTTGGTTTTGAATTAGAGATGTTAAATTCTGGGTTTGTGTTTGATATTTGAGTTTGAAACTGCTGGTGATAGGTTCATGTTGTTGCAATTATGTTACTATGAATTCATAAGTTGGTTCATACATGATATAGGTTAGCAGACAAAGAAAGGGTTGAAAATCTGAGAATTTTATCTTGATTGAACTCACATGTAAAGGATTGATTATAAGCAAAAAACAAGAATTTTGAAAGAAGGAAGAGGATATCTAGAGAATTTTAGAATGTTTGATTAAGGTTTTTTTTATCCCTTCTTTGGGTGGACCAACTACTATTGCTGCTCGACAAAGTGAAGCAGGCATTTCTTGGCTTATTTCATTTGTGGTAACAAACTTGCTTCCTAGACTTTTGAATCTGAAAAATTGAGTTGTTGCTGTAATGTATGGTCAAATTTTAAAATTGTTTCTCTTCACAGAATTCCTATCATGCTCTTATCAGTGATAATATGTTGAATTTTTTGTGATCTAGTAACTATGTGTTCTACAATTTTCTTTCGAAATTACCTTTGTGAAGCACAATTTTGGTAGAAAGACGGTCATATCTGTTATTTCTTAAAATAATTTGCCTTGCAATTTTTAGATGTTTAGATGCCAAATTTTATGTTAATGTTCCATTTGAGATTGACTGAAAAACCAAATATCACTCCCTTCTTTCTACCATAGGCCTTCGTCGCAAACTCACGAGCTGGGTTCCTCGTGAACCCAAGCTCTTGGGTTCGCTTGGAGGAAAAAGAAAAAAAAAAAAAAAAAAAAAGGCCAAAGGAAGGAGAGTATAAAAGGAAGAAGGTGAAGGTAAATCAGTAATTAAAGGTAAAATATTTAGCCATGTCATCAATTTTTAGCAGGTGGATTTTTCACGTAATTTAGTAAAAAAAAAAAATTTTCCGTTAATTAACCTATCACATCAATTAAAATTTAACAGTATGATTAAAAAAGAGTAGGATTTTAAATTTTAAGGACTAAGAAGGGGATTTTTTCAGTAAAAGGACCAAAAAGGGACTTTTTCCTATAGTAGAGGGATCAAAAAGGGTATTTAACCAAAAAATTAAAGGAAAAAGAATGAAAATAACTTTGCTGCTGGTATGTTTTATGAGGTAACGATCACCTCAACAAATCTAGCTGCCCCATTTGAAGGCAAAATCAGATGCACTTGGGAATAATGGAGGGCCAGGGTCCATATAGGAAAGTCCAGCCCTGCCTTTTCTGGGGCACCATTATAATGCTGACTTGATTTTGGCCCAGCAAGGCAGTTTCTTTGCCCAAACAAATAATGAGAGACTATAATGACAATGATAATACTCACAATCACACGTGCTTTTGTGTAATGAATTGTAGTACAAAAATTTCCTTATATGCATTAATATGTATATATTTTTCAATCTACTGAATGGGGTAGCATTGCCTTGTTTTCTACATGGAGGAACATATCTATTTCCAAGTTTCAATAGAAATGAGTTTTGAGTAACAGGGTATTGATTCAGCTACAATGTTGGAAAGATTTAACTATCATTTATGTATATAATGCATAAAATCAGAAACATTGGACTAATGCCGATGGCATGAATGTCAACACACATCAGAAAGCCAAAACGCATGTTCATCCACTCAAGAAATACATTCAAGATCAACATATTCATATTTCTATCTTACAAGTTTCAATATAAAGTTACAGGCATGCAACAAGAGCTAACTGCAGGCTACAGAGCATCTGTGAAGAAGATGCTCCTGAATCAAGGTTCCTTAAGAAATGGTACTGTCTCTCTGTGGTAACGTTTAATAGATTCAATAACTTTTACTGCAAAAGCCTCATCCTCTGGGTAATATGCAATAGGATCAGATAATAGAGGAAGTGGAAGATTAAGCACACCTTCAAGTGTTGCGTGAAGACAATAAGCTGAGTATGTAACATGATATCCTCCTTCCTGGACAATAAGAAGGCGTCCATCACAATATTTATCTGTCAAGCCCCGGATTATCCGCCCAATCTCTCTATAACCATCCATCGTCAAGCATTGCCTCCCATTTGGATCAAACTGCAGAACCATTTATGTAATGTAATACAGCATTGATCAATAGGCATAAAGACAATAGAATATTAACCATTTAACTTAAGCACAGAATAGGACATGCATGTTCTTAAAATTTTATCTCCCAAAACATTACAAACATGCCTACATCAATAAAATCTCTAAGTAGAAGAGACTTTAGCTTGTTTTGGAAACTTCAAGTTCAAATGCTGCAGCATCCAAGGATAGTAGGGGAAAAAAAAAGGGTGTTTCTGGACATTCATTTATGTTGGTGGGTGGTTGTAACACCTGGAGTTCTTGGTGTGTGACGGGTGGTGTGTTGAGGTGACGGCAGATATCTATAGCCTTCACATAGATCAACATAACCATTTATACCTAGCCTGTAAAATGTTTCAGTTAGCTTCAATTCCTTTCACTTTCACCATGGACAAGATAAAAATTGCCAACTAGCAGCCAAAATTTAGGTCACACTAAATTTGATCTGCAGAAGCATAAGACACCTGCCTCTAGACTTATGACCCCAAAAAAATTCATAAAATTAGATGAAAGTTTTAAATGGAGAAGCATTCACTTACAGCACTTGAATCTTGACCAATCACCAGCACTATCATATCTGGCCTGAACTTCTCAATAGCTGGGACAACCAGCTGTATCATGGCATGTTCATATCCTTTGTTCCCGGTTCCATTTGGCAATGGTATGTTCAAATTATACCCAAACCCTTTGTCTTCACCAAGTTCAACGACAGTCCCATTTTGCGGGTGAGAAGGACCCCATGAACCATGGTTCATATGAAGGGAAATAGTGAGAGCATCGCTGGACCTGTAGAACCCCTCTGCAGTCCCATTGCCATAATGAACATCAATGTCTACAACTGCAACCTTACTACATCCAGAATCCAAGGCCAATTTAACTGCAAGACCTGGATTGTTAAGGAAGCAATAACCGTCTGCTTGAGTAGGTTGGGCATGGTGACCTGGAGGCCTCACCAATGCATAAGCAATTTTTCCATGTCCATGAAGTATATGCTTCATTGCTGACAGTGTGGTACCAGCAGCTAGAAGAGCAGCATCCCATGAGCCAGGGTTCAAGAAAGTTCCAGTACAAATTTCTTTGCCTCCATCTCTGTCAGCCTCAACTAGTTTATTTACATATTCTGGGAAATAAATTCATGAAAATAATATCAGAATAACTAAATCAACTCCACAGTCCTAAACTAGTTAGGGTAACCTACATGAATATTTTCCCCCATTCTGTTCAATCAAGGCCGTGACAATTGACGAGCGCCTGTTACTTACTACAATTGCCACTCCAGTCAAGGTCCCAACTTTACAATTACTTTCAATCAGAAGAATAAGAGAGGTGAAATCTAGACCTAGCTCTTCCAATCATAACTCACCAATCACATAATTGTCAGTAAAATTAAATTCTACAATCATTTTATGCAACCCCTCACGTATTTAGTTTAGTACCAAAGCATCAGTCTTTGACACACACAGACACCAAAATTCTTATGCAGTACAGTAATTATCATTCAAAAAGAAGAAAAGGGTACCTTGGGTGTGGAAAGAGAGCAATTCAGGGAGGACAGCAGATCTGCCGGAATGCCAAGAGATGTAGGGCGAGATGGGTCCTCTCTTGAGTATTGAAACCATGTTCTTCACCCTCTCTGAGTTCTCAGGGTGCTTTTCTAGAACGTCTAAGAAGGTGGGCTTAACCCCGGAGTCAAATACACCACTGCCCGTATCGTGGCTTAGCATCCCGTCGTCCCAGAACACATTTATGCACCCACACGATGGAGCAGGAAAAGCAGACATGGCTTTTGGTAAGAGAAATACCGGACCTTCAACTTTCTAACCCTCGACTCCACACGTTTGCCAAGAGAAAAAGAAACCCAACTGCATTAGATTTCTTTCAGGGATTAAAAAGACCCAAAACTCCAACGTAATCTAATTTTCTTTCAGATAAGCATCGGCAACCCTCGCTGCTTGTGCTGCTAGATTGGCACTCTCCACTCTTTCGTTAAAATACTAATTTAATTTTTCAATTTTTAGATTTGTATTAAAATTATTATTTAATTTTAAAAAAATATTAAAATTATCTTTACATTTTAATTTTTAGTATAAAAATAATAGTTAAATTTTTAAGATACTAACAATTTAATTCTTAAACTTTGAAGATAAATACTATTTTAGTTCTTAAATTTTAATTATAAATATCAATTTGATTTTTTAATTTTAATTATATA